TCGTATAATGACCCTCCAGGACAAGTTAGAACTGCCTCTGTGAATTTCCAAGACTGAAGCCTCTTACCGGAGTAAAAAGCCCTGTCTTTCTCCTGAGGAGTGGCTGGTGGTTTCAAACTGCTGACCTTGAGGATTGCAGCCCAACACATAACCATTATGCAACCAGGACACCTATCTAGGACCACAGGTGAGGCATATACATGTCTCTCACTTACATGTAGCCTTCTGCAAATGGAAAACGAGGCCACATTCCATTCTGCTACTCTTTGCCTAGAGGCACAACTATTGGGTTCTTCTTACCTTTTTTTAACAGCTTCTGAATATCCAGAAAAGTACTGATGACGGGCATACATGTATGCCACACCTAGAAACATGGCAAAAACTGCAAAAGACAAAAAAAAAAATATCCAGAATGGGATGGCTGTCTCTCAAAGGATGGCATTAAAACTGAGAAAATATGCATAAAACATGACCAACAACTTAAACATGACCAAGACCAAAAGATAGAGTTTGTACTTACTACTAAGTAGTGAAAGAAAACAATTGCCACTCCTTTCTCTTTGTCTTTTACCGAGCATAATCATCTCCTCGAAGGACTGGTCCCTCTTGATAGCATGTCCAAAGCACATGAACGGAAGTCTCCCATCATCCCTTCTAAAGAGCTTGGTGGTTGTACTTCTTCCAGCACCGATGTGTTTATTCTTTCAGTAGCCAATGAAATATCCAACACCCAAATATTCCCCACCAACATCCTAATTCAAAGGCATTCACTCCTCTTCGATGTTCCTTTTCCATTGTCCAGTGCTGCACGCAGTTGGAGCAGTTGAAGTTACCATGGTTAGAGGCAAGCGCACCTTAGACCTCAAGCGGACGTCCTTGCTTTTCAACATTTGGAAGAGGTCTTTCATGGCATAGTGTCTCAATGTAATATGTTGTTTGCATTCCTAACGGTTGCTTCCATGGACCTTGATTTTGAATCCAAGTAGTATGAATTCATAGATATTTCAATATTTTACGCAGGATATTGCTTATTGGTCCATTTGTGAGAATGTTTGTCTTCTGTGTATTGAGGAATAATTCATACTGAAGGCTAGAGCCCTTGATCTTCACCAATGAATTACTTCAAATTGTCTTCACTTTCAGCAAAACTGTGTCATCTGCATTTGACACGAGGAGCCCTGGTGGCATAGTGGCCATGCATCAGGCAGCACTCCGAAAGGTCAGCACTTGAGAGAGAGAAAGATGGGTTTTCTTCTCATTACTAGTTACAGTCTTGGAAACCCACAGTGGCATTGTGCCCTATCCTATGGGGTCATGATGAGTCAATGGCAGTGAGCTTAGCAAATTGTTAAAGAACAGGATTTCTCTAATCATGTGACCACATTCTTTTTTTTTTTTTAA